AATATATGCGCATAACGGGCACAATTGGATTTTTATTATCAACCGTAATACCATGATCACTGTTTTAACATTTTACTTGAGCATAATGTAATTTTTAAGGTACCGTATATGGCGGTTGTGCTGTACGGACCGGCTCTGGCCCTCAGTTCAGGTTTGTATTCATACAATGAATAATATTATTTACATAATTTAAAGTTAATATTTTTTTACAAAGTGACCCCGTTGTCAATATCTGCCTCAATACTTGTAGTGGGATTTATTTGTACATTCTATACAACAATTGTTAGTTGTATTTATATTACCATAATTATAACGGAATTACCATAATTAAAATTATTTGTTTCGACCAAAAAAAGGGAGGCATAAAAGCGGTCATTTGGACGGATGTACTCCAGTGTATACTTATGTTTTTGGGTGTATTTGTGGTTATCATACAAGTAAAAAAACATTATATTAATTTATTTATTACATTATGTATTACCCTAATAAAATATACTGTATTAATTTATAAGGGCTTGGTTGAATTGGGTGGTTTTGGCCGCATATGGGAAATCAACGAGATGGGAGGCCGGCTTAAATTTTTCAAGTATGCCACCAACAATAATTTACTATACCGTATTTAATTTATTCATTTCAATGATATAATTTAATTTTAATCAATGTAATTTTGATAATTAAAAACGCTAGCATGCAGTTTGATATATACAACCACAACAACCTATTCAATGTAGTATTGGGCACAACCCTAATCTGGTGCAGCTCTTACTGTGTGTCCCAAACACAGGTCCAGCGGTACTGTAATATGGGTTCAAAGAGAAACGCCAAATTGTATGTGACATTCAATGAGCAAATAAATATGTTTTACCCTAGTAAAAAACATTTATTATACCAGGTCGCTTTACGCAAACCTACCAGGACTCATAATATTGTGCTTGATGGCCACATTTTCGGGTATGGTCATATACGCCAAATATCATGCATGCGATCCGGTCACTTTGGGCCTGATAAATCGTCATGATCAATTGATGCCGTACTACGTGATGGATACGCTATCAAAATATCCGGGTGTACCAGGGTTATTTGTCGCCTGTGTGTTTAGTGGTTCACTCAGGTTAGTACACGATTTTAAATATGATTTTTTACCATTACTAATTAACATTATTCACATGTTACAATATTCACATGTATTGATATAACAATAATATTTCAGTACCCTTTCATCGGGGTTTAATTCACTGGCGGCCATAACGTGGGAAGATTTGTTAAAGGATAGAATCAATGTGAAATCCGAGGCCCAAGCGCTTAACATTACAAAGTTAATTGGTACATTATTATTTAGTTTAAAAATGTATTTTAACATGGTCGTTAATCAATTAATATCAAATATAGCCATGTCATACGGACTGTTGTCTATAGGCTTTTCATTTGTTGTGGGCAATGCGGGCACTGTTATGCAGGCCTCTATGGCGCTCACCGGTGCTATGAGTGGACCAATTTTTGCCTTGTTTCTAATTGGTCTATTTGTACCATGGGCAACCGCTCCGGTAAAGTTATTACGTTATTTATTTTACTTAACAAATTTGATTATAAATATTTTATTAAGGGATTATTACTTGGATTTATAAGCGGTTTCGGTGTGTCGGCAATACTAGCGGTCGGATCGCTGGTAATCCCGCGGCCAAAGGTCTCGTTGTCCACAACTATCGACAGCTGTCCTCACGTGGTATTAATGGATGTATTGAACCGATTCTCAGCCCTTCCCACTTCTTCATACTTACCCTCATATGATAACGTTGAGTACGTTTTGCTGCAAAACCATATCCATAAATGTGTTTCACACACACCTGTAGTAATTGTACGTTAAAAATGTAAACTAGTTAAATTATTTTGCCCCTTACCAGAGGTTACGCCCGATTCTTTCACATATCATACCTATTGGTATCGCCCATTGGTTTTACCATTT